AAGGTAAATATGAATAATGAATTGTCGGTGAGTACTATGTATAATAATGATATCACTTTTTCTTGCATTCGTACTATGCGTGAGATGAACGATTTTGTTTGCGGGCGAAACTTTTGTCGCGCACTGAATATAGCGAAGGGAAACATCTTTTATGTCACGTTTACCAAAGTTGCTAGCAAGGGATATCCCTAAGAGTGAACCGCTCTAATAAGTTTTTACCTTTGATCCCCGAGATATTTATTTCAGCAAACGGAGAAATCAAAGTTCTAGCGACTGGTACGAGTGCCCAATGAGACGACGTTCAGAATGTATTTTGATGACATGACCACTAAAGACTTGTATATATTGCAGATATTTGCTTGTTTTTAATAATGACTGATCGTCAGTCAGTAGTTTCTTTTCTCAATGTGACTAAGTCACGGAAAACAATCGACCATAGACGTCTCGGGGAAATTCGTTCAGCTTATAACACGATGATGGAAACGCCGACAGTTGATACTACGACCACAAGTGGAGGCGATCCACTCAAACAACTTGCTCAGTTATTTGAACTCGGCGACGATGCAATCAATCTCGATTATTTGAGTCTATGTGTTACAGCAAGCAGCGTGGAAGCAGCGTGCGACACACTTTCCGCCAAATATTTGGATATGAAGAGTAGCGAAAGTGAAAGTGCGAACCGAGCAATACATCAAATGACAACACATTCTTCATCGGCCATCATTCAGAACGTATCTTTGTCGCAGGTCATTTGTCAGATTCTGGTCAAACAAAATCAACCAGTTGTGATCGAATTCATTCATAACTTTCTGCTATTTCCACTTGCTCAAACTGCATCAACACATTCAAACAATACCGAGTAAGTTTATTTGACGATATTGAACTATATGATACAATCTTCTTTTCATATCAAGTAGGAAAATCAGTGCATTGTCTCCGGATATTCTCATTCATGGATCTCTAACATCTGGTTGCACGTTAGATGTTTTCATTCGGACTCAGTTACAGGCTCGAGGTGGTACTATCGATGTCGGTCGTCCGCTTACTAAATTTCCGCTAGTAGAACCAATAACATTAATCGACGAATTCGACACTTGGTATTTCGATCATTTACGTGGACTATTCGAGTTAACTCTTATTCCTGAAAAGGAGGAATTTCCGCGCAGATGGAAACTGACATCGGATACTAAAATCGTCTTCGTTTTCCAGTTCCCTATCCAATATGAAAATAATGAACAAACCAGTCGAAATACCGACCGACCGAGTACAGTATCTCTAGAACGATTTGTCAATGACGTTTGCGAGAAAGAAAACAATGGCATGGCTGAGAAATGGCTTGAAGGATTGCGTCGAGACGATCTGTTTACTTTCGATCATCTCGCCAATCTAAAACATATGGAATGGAGTGAATTGAGGAATTTATCCATGAATGGAAGAAAGATTCTGAAGTCATACGTTGATCGAGAAAAACAAATGATCGGCGATGTCAACACAATTACAAAAACAAAGACGATCGAAAACACGAGTGACATTCGTAAGTCATAAAGCTTGAGTTCTCATAGTTGACATCATATTTTTCCTATATAGAATCACAATCGGAAATACTCGCATGTCTTCATCAGATTAAATTATATTTTCATCATAAACTCGCCGATCGATTTGCTGAGGCTGGAGTTCCATCTCCGGCTAAGTTGAATCCTCGTTGTGTTCGTTTGTCATTCGATGAAATGCGTCGTGATGGGTTTGCGGATGATGGTCTTTTCGATCAAATGGAAAAGTTCTTTCTTGCACTTACCATGGTCGAGCAAGACTTGGCGATTGACGAAAAACGATGGCGGTCGATTGCCGAAGTTCGTCGGAACGAAAAAGAGCAACTGTTGGCGAAACAAGACCGTCTATTCATCGAGTTGAACGAGAAGGAGAATGAATATTATGATCATTATGATTCAATTCGAAAACTACGGAAGGACAATGTTTCCCAAAGAAGAGTGTCGATAGGAGAGGATGGAGAACGATACGAAGCATTTCCAGTGTCGGAATTAATCGAAGACCATCAAATAGCAATGGAACAATTGGAATCAGTTCGAACCGACCTGCGAACCCAACTTCAGGATACTAAATATCTGATCGATAACATTGAGCAGACATTGAACGAACATAATGTCCGTAGTGGCAGACACAATGAACGAGATCTGATCAAGCCAAATAGAGGTTTCATTATGTACGGTCCTCCAGGTTAGTACCATCAGAGAATATCTCGATGTCGTCTAGCAGTTGCACGGGTGAAACGATATTGATTATAGACTTTGACGAAGATTTAACTAACGAGTTTTTATCTTTGTTTGCATAGGTACTGGTAAATCAGATATCATGAGTAAACTGTCGACACGTATTGGTATTAACATGGTGGCCCCTCCACTCGCTGCTGGTGAACTCAATCGACCACTCGTAGGTGAATCTGAACGTATCATCTCGGATATTTGTATGCGTTGTCATCGAACACCACACCTGATGTGTTGTGTGTCAATTGATGAAATCGATTCGTTAGCACCGAAGCGTACAGATGATTCCCGAGATGGAGATGTGGCTAAACTCAGTGTGTTGTTATCGGTGATTGAAGGAATTAAAGACGTGCCGAATTTGATGATTTTCTGTGCTACAAATCGGTTACATATGATGGACAAAGCATTTTTACGACGTATGTCCGGCAAATTCTTTGTTGGACGTCCTTCGTCCCATGCCCGGAAGAGCATTTTGAGGGGCATGAAATCTTGGCATATGCCACCCTATTTACTCGAAAGTTTGACTATGGCAACAACCAATTTCAGTGGGGCTGCTCTCAGGTTAGTGGTGAAAATCGTCCTTCTTTTTCGAATGATAACGAATGATAACTTGAATATCTCACATTTATTTTTTTATTATTCCAGAGCTCTTCGTCGATCGATTACGGTACATTGTATCGATACTGAACGTGTTAATCCTCGTTATCAACTTGACTATCGTACAATGCTTGAACTAGCTGATGCCACAGCCAAAGATTATCATATTTTGATTGGTGCCCAAACTTTACCCACTCTTCTCTTACGTGATATCGACAATAATCAATTATCCGAAGCTACTCATCAACCAACTGCCCGATTCAATGGTCTACCGAATAAACGTAACTCAGTGTACACTGGCAAGATAATGGTTAATCTGCATGTACGTCGTATTGATGTCGAAGCAATCCTCATACAGCGAGGCACGGGTGACCGTGAAAAAGTTGTCTATCAAGAATTCTTACTCGGCTCAGAGACTGACTTACAGGAGTTACTTCCCCGTTTGACTTTCTACGGCAAATCACGTAATGTCCAACTTCTGCAGTTGATCGATCTCAATTTACTCTCGGAAGAAAGTGCCTACGATGAAAAACAGAAATTCGAGATTTTGAAAGAACGTCTTGATGAATGTGCCGAGTACCGTCGTTCGATGATTGTCTATGATTTAGATTCATTAATTGGAGTGAATAAAAGCGAAGGAAATTCTTCCATGGGTCGATCGACAAATTTCTCCTTGACCAATCAAAATGTCTATACCTATGTGAAAGAGAAGTTTCAACATGCCTACATCGAAGCACCACTGACGTCGCAGGAGGACAATTCGAATAACAACTTCAATGAGGAAAAATGGTCTGTCATGGTTATTAGTGATCCATTTCTTCTTCGTCAATTTTGTGATGATGTTAAATTTACTCGTCCACCAAGTGAAATCGAAGAAGAAGAAGCCGAAATGCGTCGCGCCGACGAACGAATCAAATGTGTTCAATGTAATGATTTTTACATTGAGCAAGATAACAAGATGGGAGTGTGTAACCATCATGATGGATTTGTGTACGACAATCATTCATTGAAACTTGTCCCATGGAGTCAAAGAGCTGCGATGAGTCAATTGTTGAAAGAAGAAGCCGATGCCATCAAGAGATTGTCCACAACAACGATGTCACCAGAAGAAAAAGAACGATCAGAACGAGAAAAATTGCGTTTTAAATTCATCTGTTGTGATCAAACTGTACAGGTTGCAGGAGCCATGGGTGGTTGTAAGAGAGGAAAACATAGTTTGGCCAACATAACGCTCATCGAATGGGAACAAACCTGTGATAACAACAGAGATTACCAAGAGAAACGACTGAACTTGCTTCAGAGTCGCATTTAACAGTGAATATTTGCTATATGCTTGTGTTTTTAACACTGAAATCGTTTTTGTTAGCAAGAACATTTTTTTTCTTCAGAAAACGTTTAGCTATTGACATGAAAGTTTACATAGAATTCGACAAACAAATAAATAAAAATATTCAAGAAGAAACAGTTATAGTAAAGATTAAATAATTTGAAATTTAATCTAACGAATATCAGGAATCGCTATACAGCGTAGGTTTTTTTACGCTATGTCGAGACTTATGTACTGCGTTGTACGGTATGCGATTTTGAACGATTACATCGAATAAACATATTTACCAGTAATTGATTTCACTTATCAATGTTGACCAGTAAAATCTTTCCAGCTAAACAATTTCTTACATATATCTTAGCAAATGGTTGGTATTGATGCCAACTGTTGAATGTAATTATGAGATGAATGCCTTCAAATTTATCGAACACTGACTTCGATGATCTTTCTGGTCGACAACCTCTGCTCCTTGAGCTCGAGGTAAAAGTGCACCAGAAAGGACTTAGACTGGAACCATTCAATAATATTCCATGTTTTAGTCAAAAGTCTTTTCGAGAAAATGACTTGTAGTCATGAAGTACTCGCAGCTCGATCAACTAGTGATCAATATCAACTAAATGCCACTCCTCCTTCCGAGGAACGTATTGTACGAATATCTCATTGAACATCTGCTTCGATTATTTAAGATCGATCTGACTCCTTTGACCCTATTATTTCAATGCTTATTTCCTGTTGTGAGATGTGGTGTTATTCATAAAAAAAGGAAGAAACTACCAAGACTAACAACAAAAGAAGAGAACAACACATGCGGCAGGAAAGAATATCATTACTATCGAACAACTACCGATGTTAAGTGGCACGACATGAACATCAGTCCAATACAATAACGATTACAGTGATTTTGGAAAGCTTTCATTTTTTTCGTCTTTCGTATAATTTGTGTAGTTTTCTTGATTGAAGTTTTGAAATTAAAATTTAAGTATGGTTGTGTAGAGTATTTCGCGGCGCATCTTTTAAAAAAGGCACCAAGCTTAGGG